ATTTTGACAACCACCCACATGCAGGTGACTTGAAGCCAGCTGTCACGCATAGCTGTTGTAGACAAAGGTGTGGGCCTGCCCAACTCCAACCCCAAGCCTTGTGCAGAATCACACTTCGGGTCTCTGAGGTTCACGCGAATCTTCCCAGAGGGCAAGAACGTAGGCCATTGAAGGGTTTGCGTCAAGATAACAGGTTCCAAAGATAGCCGGACCCATTTAGACACCAAACTACAAAAATCTGCATAATGGGGAGGACACGGAAAGGTACCCTTAATCTTGGGTAGCCCTAAACCATAATTAAACCCTATATAACCTTATATCACCCTACATACCCCCTATATAACTCTGTATAAGGCAGAGCTGGAGCAGGGATTTCTGAGCCTTGCACGGCCAGGCTAAAGCCACGTGCATAGGACATCACCAGCCTCATGGGGGTTCATAGAGGGCTTATGTAGGTTTACATGGGGTTGGTTTGCGAGGTTCTAAAAATCGGGGATCCTACTGTATATCTAAATGTGTATATTGTATGTAGATATATATATATATGTATATATTTCAAATTTTGAACACCTCATCATAGGCCCCCCCCCCAGACTGGATCTCCGGTTTTTTGAAAACCCCAACTTTGGATGTGATCCACAGACCTGCAATGTGCCAGGCACGCCCAGGGCGGTCCAAACCCTGCCTGTCCCGCCAGCCCCGCAGCTTCTGTAGCAGATTTTGAGAATTCCGTTTTTTTGGCTAGGCAGCAGCCTTTCCCGAGCGACCTCAGAAATTTGTGGGGTCGAATTCGTCGGGCAGGGTTCTGCTCGCATTCTTTGTGCCGTGTGGATGTCCTAAGGAGTCCACCCAGCTTACTGACTGATGCTTGGTGTGGAAACTGGAACTGTACCCCTGTGGTTGCCTCTAGTATCGTTTACTCGTACTTTCATAGCGGTCGCGACAGATGGGGCACAGAAGTACAGTGCCACCTTCCCTGCCGATTATCAGTCGGGCGGGTATGTGCCAAAATCTCAACCCCAGAAAGCTCCAAAAAAAGCGCAGGATCCATCCTGTAGGTAGGTCCCCAGCATAACTAGCCAAAATCGCACCCTAAATCCGAAACTCTGGCATACACCCGACGTGGTGCTGCCCGCATAACTGCGACTGCAGCCTTTGAGATGGTCTCAAGGCCAGAGGCCTTGTTCCAACTTGGCGTAGGACCTCTTAGACTTAGCGCAGGGGCGCAAAATGAGACTTTTTCAGTCAGGGGGGGTCCCTCATCAACAGTGGACAGCTTGTATATTCCTACGTATTCCTATAGAATCCATAAAAACCCTACATATCCCTACCACCCTATACTCTTTCGTTATGCCTACAGTACCTCACTTTGAGACCCTAAACCCCTCCCAAGCGTTGCTCTTCGCCTGGGTCTGGGTAATGAGCTCCACCAGATCTGGTAGTTTCTCCATAAACAGGGGGATCCCGACTTAGACCCCAAAATACAGCAATCCGTATTATTGGGATCCCCAAAATGGTGCCCCTGAGTTGGAGCACCCCCAAACCTTGTATAACCCTACTTATTCACTTCAGTTTCCATTTCTTCTCCATTTGGATGAACTTAAATAATGTCAAGATCCGTAATATTCATCATAGAATCCTCTAATACCTTATGTTAAACTTTGCGGCCCTCAGGCTTTGCTGGTCCATCGGGGTGAGTGGGGGCAGGGAACGTAGGTACTGTCATAGGGGATGATGTAGGGATTGGTGTATGGATCCTCTCCCCCACACCCCTTGGGGGTTTTTGGTTTAGGATCTTGGGCGGGAGTCCGATGCCAAAATACTTTCTCATTACTCTTAGTATCATGTGTATTACTCGTAGATATTTTTTGTAGTTCTTATTGTTAAGAGGAACATTACTAGTATTATTAATAGTATTTGTGCTATTACTTGGGAAGTCCCCAACCTTGAGGTTGTAGGCAAAAAAGGGTTAGTCCTGAACGTTGATCTGCAATAAATGAAGATGCAATATTGGGCTTGGGCGTGTTAAGCCTGGACCCTAAATACTAGGGGACGTCATCATCTCTCTTTCGCTGTTCTTGGCTTCCAACCATGTGGGTGCCATGAACTGTTGGAATACAGGCAAGGTGTTCAACGCAATCCTGAAGCATAGCTGGATCATCTTTGAGCATCATGCCTAAAAATTGGAGTTATGCTTTATCCCAGTAAATCAAGATGCAAATATTCTTTTCAAGAGCATTCCAGTCTGGAACCAGATAAGTCCGATGCCCCAAACCTTGGACCCTAATCCGCGCAAGTTTGCATTAGGTCGGTTGATGTAGCAGGATGTGGCCTTTCCAACGGCGACGACCCAGCACCCCCAAGTACCATTGGGGCCAAAACAAACTTAAACACAATTTCTTGCTACGCTTCGCTATATCTAGGTAAGGACTGTAGAGATAACCTTAGAAGTGACACAACCCAGTACCCTAGCTGCATCCTTTACATCCCAGTTCTGTGAAGACTGAGCAGCCAGCGGCACCACCAGTTCCATCCTCTGACTACTGCGATCCTGATGGCGGATGATGCCTCGAAACCTAAGGAGGATCCATTACGAGCGTCTTGGATTCAACTTTGAACTAGCAAGACTAGGTAGTCATAGGGGTTATGAGGTTCATCATGGGTGCTATGGGAGACAGTACCAAGACTTGCTCAGAGAAGAAGAGCCAGCAAGAAGGATAGCCCTATGCCTAGCTCGGGGGATAAAGAATTGTAGAAAGCCATATCTGAAAATGGGCGTCCCCTTTAACCGTCCCAAATGCTACAGCCCCTGCCATGGGGGCATCCATGCTGTTGAGCAAAGAATATGGGAAATCATGTCAAACGCCTAAGATCCCACGCCTGCTAGCCTGAGGAAGTGAAAGCGTCCCTGGACCGGCAGCTTTGGATGCTCTGAGACCTGTGAGAGGGGTTGCTGTTACAGACTTTAATTGAGCTACCATGAGATGGGTAAATAGATAGATCTGGGCAATTTGAAGCGACTTCACCCGACCTCACCCTAGCTGGTGGGTTAGTTAGGGAATAGTACCAAGATGACCTTAAATTGGGAATTAAACTTGTTCCAACTTGCTCAGATAGATAGATATTTTGTGATGTTCGTTTATTTGATGATATGGTTCTCTAATTCAGGCAATTCCATGTCAATTCCTTAGCCGCAGCCCGGCAAAGTTCACGCAGGTGTTTGTGCAGGTTGAGATCCGTGAATACCTCCCGACTCAGCACAAGATCTTGTGAGCAAGATCTTGTTATCTTGTGTTTTTGCCCTTTGTATACATTCGCAGTCGCGGAAGCGTGCGCATATGAGCTACCGTCTAAACTCAAAGCATCCCCCTTAAGAACCCCTGTAACAGTCACCGTCCTTTAAGGAGGTTAGACTACAAAACATATCAGTTTCTGCGCTTCCCTAGTTGCAGCATTCGTTGCCGAGGCAAATGCGAAGCCAGCCTTTCGAGCGCTTCGACCGGTTCTACGAAGGCCTTCGCGATAATGCCTACCTGGGCCCTCCAATATGGTAATTTCCCAAAATTAGGGGTACCCTTTTGGGGGTCCCTATAATAAGGACTATAGTATTTTGGGGTCTATATTGGGGTCCCCTTATTTTGGGGAAACTACCATATAGTTCCTTGGGAAAGGTACTACGTTGGAGGGTCCTGGTAAGGCATGCAGGCATTGTGAGGGTAAGAAGGGCAATGACAGGAATCAGGTACTCCAAACCTAGAGTCACTTGAAGAATTCTATTCTCTTTAGGTCGCGAAGCCAAGGGCTCTGGTCTAAACTGCGATCCTGTGTGAGGCCGAGGTGAACGTCTTAGCTAGCTCAGGCTGCGAGGGTGTGCATTTTAACCTCATGCAAAGGTAACCTAAGTCGCACATATCTACACATATAGATATCTAGTTACACACATATATGCGTACATATATATATATATATAATTATATATCTGTATATATATATATGCATGAATATACGCGTATTTCTGCATACTTGCTCCCCCCAACTTTTGAAGGCGAGGAGTTTGCTGATGCTCTCTTCTCGGAGCTGGCGCCCTGGGGCAAGGATCAAACGTTTACTGGCTTGACGCACGGCACTCCGAGCCCTGACATTTGCGAGAATTACCACTTTTCCAGCCTGGTGAATCGTTTATGTTGGGGGGGTGGTGGGGGGTGTTGAATGCAATGAAAAGTCAATTGCGCTTGCATGTCTTGCCAGCTGTATTGGGAGTCCTTCTGCGGGTTTTGCTGTGCTCTAGACTCTAGAGCTGCGGTTGGTAATCTCATGTCACCGGTGGACTCGGCAAGCAGTTAGGGGTCCATGCTGGCGTTCTTCCATACTTTTTTGAGTGTGGGTCTCCTTATAGACTGCAAAAAAACTTTTGCTTTTCTGCAAAGTAACGGGAACTAGGTGTTGCAAGCGGTTTGGAGCAGTCTTTCAATTGTGTTCCTACTGTTTGCGTTGAGTAGAAACATCACTGGTCAAGATTTGTGCTGCTGCCATCACGGGACGAGATTCCTAAAGCTGGCCATGAGAAACAAACACTATGGCTGAAGCATTCAGATTCTTGAAGCATCTGCAGACCCTTGAAGGACCATAGACGGAGCACTCAAATAGAGGCACAGGAAGTATTTGGAGGGATCCGTGGTCAAGGCAACCGTAGAGAGAGCAGGGGAGAAACTGATAGTGGAAGTCATTGGTGTTGCAGTGGACTTGGTTGCTTGCTCTTGGGCAATCCCTATCTGTAGTATCCCGGTCCTCGCTTGTACTGACCGGAGCTTATGGGCACGTGCGCGGCTGCGGGTCGGCTCACTTCTTCGGGAGTGAGCGTAGCCAGTAGAAGAAGAAGAAGAGAGAGAGAGATGAATTTATGTATGCAAGACCTTGAACCCCAAGAGCCAGAAGAAGTCTTCAAGCAAGGAAAGGTGCGCACACGCCACATGGTTGGGGCCGCTTGGTTGGAGTTTTTGGGTTGAATTCGTTTCGGGCATTGCCCTGAAATGGTGAGAGATTTGGGGTTTGGGAGTTGGTGAAACCCCCTCAGATAGCATATGGTTTAGGGCGTAGAATTTAGAGTTTCGGGCCGCGCAACCATAACACATTGTGAATCACTCTGTCTCGCGGCCTGTTATCAAAGCAGCGGCACGTACATCTTCAGCATTATGCGAATGCCGATCCATGCAAATTTTTATTTGTATAGTCAGACATCTGCTATAGGACAGCCTGTACCGGGTGAACTCGTGAGTGGTTGGTGTCACTAGGACTTACAGTATTGACAAAGTGGTACAGCATGGAGGAAGGTTTCCGGAAATCGCCTCGGCTTTGCTCTGAGCAAAAGACGGCGGGCATTCCACGCTTGGAGTGTGTCCAGATGGATGGGTAACCTTGTAGTACTCCTCAATGCTCTGTGGCGACGCCTTAGGCCTTATGTCGCGAATTCCACTTCCCTCCTGATCCTTTACCTCCAAATCACGCACTTCCTTCAGTGATCCACGCGAGCACGCTCCCAAGCCTGAGCACTGACAATCTATGCGTCAGCGTGAGTGTTTAGATGTAGCAACTTCATGGATCTGAGTAGCCGTAACTTCGGTTTTTTGCAAGATTTAAAGATAAGTGTGTAGGTTTGCATTTGGACTTGAATGTTGCTAGCTTTTGACATTGAGATCAACTGCCCAGGTGTTCTAGAGCACCACGAAGGCTTCCTGCAGGCATGTGCTGTTTGGCGTGCCGCTCAGCTGCATGACAGAAGGCACGCTGAGCAGGGTAGATTCATGGTCCTTATGCACCATCGTGCCTTATTAGCCACCAGGAAGCCATCAAGGATCTGATCATGTGCCAAGGGGGTGTCGGAGAGAGGGGAAGACCAGATTGGAGTGCCCCAGCAGACGTGTGCTCTCAAATGCTTACTGACCCAGAGACCTTGTACGGGTTGCTTCCGGAGTTCTTCTACTGATCAAATTTTGCAGTTTTCATCGTTAATCTGATATCATGCTGTTTGTCTTGAGATTTCACCTAGATCATGATTTGGCAGTGCATGGGATTGCCTTGAAGCCTCTGGGTTATTCGTGCGCGTGGTCCAGGCGCCAAGCCGCAGTCCGGTGGTAAAAGGGAAGACCAGACAAGCAGTTATTTTGCTTGTTGTTAACCGGATTTTATGGGGTGATCTAGGGTTTTTCAAGCGGTTAGTACGGAATGGGCGAGAAGATGGAAGCTACCTTTGTTTCAGGGTTTGGAGCAGTGAGTAGGAGAGCCCCGCTGGAGGGGGTGGTGCCAAGGCAATGAAGGAATCCAGACAATTCTTTTGCATCCACGGTTCAGCCCGGCCCTGAAAGATGCCTCAACTGAGAAAATGTGGTATACGTAACACCCAGTGAGGTTTCTGTAGAAATCGTTCCGCAACCCAGCTTACCCGTTTTTTTGAGGTCCATGAGAGACATTCCGCTCCTTTTCACTCCCTCTTTCTTGACTAGTCTAAGGCTTTCCGAGTCTGTTACTCTCACCGTCATTCGTTCAGCAGTGGAAGTCTTGGGCGTCGCCTCGCACGTCCCCAGCCTTTCCCCTGCCGAGATTGCTAGGCTTAAAGCCATGGAGTATAAGTCACATAGTAGCATCTTGTCCTTAGACCCTCGACCACGGATTGTTCAAACAAGCAATTATTTCTCTAAGCGAGTTTCACCTCTTCTCAACTCGTCGCATGATCGACTTCGCCTTCGCCTTCGCCGTCATCTTCTAAGACACCCCGACCATCTTGCGTATCAGACTACTTTTGTGCCGGCGGGTGCCCATAGATTTACCAACGGCTCTGGAAGAACAGGTCGACCTAGGTTACGTCGTGCAAAATCCTGTAGCGTGGAAGCCTCCAACAGAATCGTCTCTCTCCTTTCAATTCTGCCCCCTCCCACTCTGTTGTTCCTAGCAGCTACTCATAGTCTAACAGTCCCACTGCAGCGGAGGTAGGATCTGCTGGTTTCCAATCAGAGCATGGTATGGATACTACGTCGCTTTACAGAAGAATCAGGTCCAGAGCCTCACAAGGCTTTCTGGACTTCCCTCCTCCATAAGCCGATTAGGCGGCGGGAGCATTTTATACTGGATGTTGAAGTTCAAGATAAGGATGGTCTCGCTGATGGGCCTGGCATGTGGTCAAGCACTATGGGTGGCAAGGAGCAGAGCCCCAGCCGAACTGGGTTGGTTGAGCCATTGGGGTCAGGGTTTAGCGTCAAGGCCTAGATGAGGGGCCTAGACTGTAGCTCCCGTCAGTTCATTTCAGGGTGCTCGTAACTTCACAGCATCCATTGCAGCTTTGATTTGCAGCTTTCGTGCAACCCACTTTAGTCGTTCCAGGGCAAAGTCCATTCACACTGTACACGGGCGTCCGAAGTTATCCCTGTGATCTTATCATGTCGTGCTATTAGCAGGATCTTGCGAGCGAGAATGGTTTGCCACATTGCTTTGCTCGAGCATGCAAACCCCAAGCCCCAAACCCTAAGGTGTGGTTATGGCACCTGGGTTGAGGCACTGCGCGGATGGCTTTCATTTCTTGCCTGTTGGGTGGGAAAGGGCCCTAAACCCTAAACTCCTTAGACCGCCTTTAATGCGTTTGGCAATTTAGGGTGGGACGGGGTAGGCAGGGAAAGGCTTGAGGGTTGACTTTGAGAGTTTAGGGTCAGAGGACGGAACGAATTCTAGAGGATCGAGTTATGCCGTGTGTGTCTGCCCCATTGTCAATTGCGATTACCCTGAATCGCGGGAATAGCCATTCTGCTGCTACAAACTGCAGCTTGACTCGAGCTTGGGGCATATAGAGTGTTGAGGACTGCACACCTGCCTGAAAGTCCTACGTAAGCACTACCCGCGCCTTGTGTAATCCTTCCTCTTTGAAAAGTATACGCCTTAGAAAGGTGGAATTCCTAGGGTCCAGGTCCTGGCTACACTGGACCTCTCCTCCAGGCCTTGTCTTCTAAAGCCGAAAGGGTCTCGGGTTTGGGGCCCTAAGCCTAAACCCTAAACTACAAGGTTGAAACTCCCAGGCCGTTCAAATTCCTGCAACCTGTAGAACCCCACAAGCCCGTGCTACATGAGTATTGGTTTGGATGTGCTTCTTGTTGTTATTCATACTTTTTATTCGTATTCTTCCTATTGATTGGTTGTATCGTTATTATTGTCAGTATTGTTATGAGACATATCTCCCAAGTAGCATTACAAGAATGATAGCTCTGATAGCCGTACTGACGACTGTGGTGATGGCTATTCTTACTCTAACAAAGCTACGGCAATGATTACTAACACGGCTACACTTCTATTTTTCCTTATTCCATTCTTGTAGTAATTCGCACTGGACATGTTCGTTTTCGAGAGGGAGTTGAAGAGGAGTGGGTCTCTGTAATAATTATCTGCTCCCCTATTAAAATAGTCATATTTATCTCCACTCTATTTATCTCACTCCCCTTCAGCACCAGCAAGGCGAGGGACCAGAGAAAGCGTCAAGGTTGTATCTAAAGCTGTACTTGATGGTCCTTGTCCTGGAGCTGACACTGGCAAACATCAGAACCCAGAAGCCAGATGCAAAGAGTCCTATATTACCCTATATGACCCATATGGCCTTGTGTAGCCCTAATTACCTTATATTACCCTATATCACCTTCATAAATTGTAGCTAGTCTTCCTGCAGCCCGCAAGCCTTACCCAAACCCTAAAACCTAAACCCGAAACCTTATCACAAGGGTCCTGACGATGGGCCCCTTACCTGTTTCTTGGGCTTTAACAATGGGCCCTCACTTGGGTTCGCAAGATCTGAAAAGGTACATCATAGGTATAGAAGGACCCCAAGATTAGAGGCCCAACAGGGGCCCATACTTTGGACATTCGAACCTAAACCCTAAACCATGTCACTCATGAGCCAGCGCATGACTTGACAAGGGTAAGCGGCACGGCTTCTTTGCCCTCATCAAGGAAGGCCTGACATATGCGGTTAACATGGATCCTCAAAAAGGCCCTGTTCAGACTACTGTCCTTTGTAGTGGAGGTTATTTGGGGTGCCTGTCCGTTTGGGGAGGGTAGAGTTTGAGAGTCGTGGTTGAGAGTTGAGGGTGTAAAGGTTTGGAGTTTAAGGTGCAGGATTTCGAGCCTTGGGGCCTGAAAGCCGCTTGTAGCCTGAGATTTTGGCTTCCTCTCGTGCACTCTTTGCACTCCTCCAATACTGTCATCCGAACCTTTCTCCGCGGCTGCATTTTGTGCGGGGGATTGTATCTGTATCCAAAAGGGTATTACGTAGGGGACGCACAGTAGGAGAAGGATAAGGGTGGAGGAGACGGAGAGGAGGTAGTGGTGATGGCGGTAGAAGCAGCAGTTGTGACAGGAGTTGAACTAGAAGCATGGAGAGGAGTGGTAGAATTGGGAGGAAGAGGAGGAGGAGCCGCGACTTCTTTGTACGCCGAAAAAGCCGTGCACAATCTGCTTCAGGTGGCACGTATGTCGAGGAGTACGATGCTGGCGAACTGAAGCGGCGAATCAAATGGAGGAAGGACAAGCTCCATGTCACGTGTGCGCGATGCAGAGTGCCGGCAATGGCAGTCTTTGTCTTGGACATGTCACTGTGATTTGAAACAGATGTAGCATAGCAATCCTATGGGATCTTTTCATCCCTAGACTGAGTGCAGCTTGTCAGAAGTCTGGTTCTGAGTTCTCATCGAAGGAGTCGGAATCTAGCAGTTGAAAATTTGGGCTGAGGGTTGGTTAAAAAGGATATCTGTTCAGAAGCCACGGACTGAGACTATTGTTATCGTTTCAACCTTGGCTATTGGGGGCCACAAACGTGCTGTCGACCGAGGCGGTATGCTCTTCATCCCTTCGGCAAACACTGCCGACGAGAAGCCCTGCACTCAGTGACAGCACTATCTTTTCGACCCCCAAAACGGTTCACTTTGTGGTGACAAGGCGCGGCTCAGAATCAGCCCTACGAACCGTGGTTGCTCATGTGAAAGCGCAGAAAAGCTGCAAGGTTCTGCCGCTTCCACTTGTCCAAGCCAGACTACGACGGCCGCTATCCATGCTGCGGGGCGCTGCATTCGGTCAACCCACGAGGCGCCAAAATGACTACCTGGCAGTGATGGTGATACTGGCGGCGGTGGTGAATAGTAGCGATGGCCACAAAAGCATGTGACCCGTGGTTCCAACTTACATGGGCTGAGGAGTGGGAAGACGTCCACCGCTGGTTGTGTAGTCTGGTCAAGGCTTTTAGCGGCACCCTACAGCAAACCCTGTGTGGCTACAAGGCTGTGCAACCTCCATGCACGTCGAACCAAGCAAAGGCAGGCTGTGTTGCTGGCTTGTTCGCGTTTCGATGCAGGCGGTCTTTCCTTGGAGTACACTATGTCACTATGAGCCTATGGGTCAAGAGGATTCAATCATGAGGAAGATAACCACAACATGATCCCTGGTAGGGGCCCCATAATTCCCACTAAGTCCCCACGTCCTCCTAGGACTTTTGACAAACTCTCACAAGGAAGGTCTTCATGGTTGGGTTCACCTGTATTCTGTGTCTCTACAACTTGAGAAGGACAATTAAGCAAGCTTGCATGTGAGAAGCTTTCATTACAAAAGGAATTGTTAGGCCGTAGCTAGGAACCTGAAAGCATCAGCAAGAGCGCCCGATCCTTCTACTCTAGCCCCAGTAGGGCTCAGAGATGCACCGGGAATCTCATAAGAGATCCATGGCTACTCTTTGATGCCGAGGCGTGGAAGAGACGGGTGCTTTCTTGGAAAAAGATGGGGCAATTGTGCGGTGCTGTGGCGAAATGCAACGTGGACAAAAGCGAGGAAGCAATGAATCCAATCATCTACGAAGACGGACAACTATCATTGTCATTTCTATTAGTATCAGTATTAGTATTAGTATTAGTATTATTATCAGGGGTATTATCAGTGGTATTTTCATTACCATGCACAACAGGCCCCATGTGAAGGGGCAGCCAGTGCCGATTAAAGCTCTGGAGCGGGAATCTCCCTTCTCTCCGTGAGCGTAAAAGGAAAAAAAACCAGCTCTGAGCCCAACGCCTAAACTTAGCTACTTCGGGCCTAGGGTTTAGGGTTTAGGGCTCAATTAGGGCCTCGGGTTTAGGGTTTAGGGCTCAATTAGGGTTTAGGGTTTAGGGTTAAGGGCTCAATTAGGGTTTAGGGTTTAGGGATTTTCGATCAAGTCCGGGTTGAAAAAAGGGTCAGAAAATCAGAGCCCACCACAAAACAAACAGATGGAACCCTGCATCCTCACCCCCAACCCACCCTTGAGTTTTTTTTTAACAGAGCTCTTAAAATCAAGATTCTCAAAACAGCCTTCATATCATCCAGTACAAGTTTTCCGGCGAATACGCCCCGTGGATCCAAAGAGAGGATCTCCTGGTCGTGACCCCCAAGGCCCCAACCCAACAGTCACGCAGACCCTAAAGCCCCAAACCCAAGCACTCGGCTTAAAGCCTTAAACCAAGAACAAACTCCCTAAACCCTAAACCCTAAATAGTTGTTTCCATTTTCTTCTCCATCATCCCTATACCCGTAGATCATCCCCTATCAACCCCATGTAATCCCTGTCAGACGCAGTGGATGGCCTGACTGATGCCACGGCTGCCTTGGGGCTGGGGGCGGGGCCGCTTGACAGATTTGAGCAGTAGGATCTGAATAATAATGCCAAAAGTGTTGGCTTGACAATCTAGTAAGATGCAGCTAAAACCGGATCAAGATCAATATTCTAAACATCCAGGAATATTTTTTTGTCTAGTTATAACTGCACCGGCGGCGGGATTTGGTAATTGGGCGGCGTTTCCCAATATTACCTTCATAACAAAATGACCTCCTCGCGGAAATCCAAAGTCCCTTTCGCGCACGCCATCGCCAGCTTTCGCGGAAGCATGTTCGAAGCAAAAACCAAGCCCTGAAGTCTCGAAAGAAGTCTTGACCCATACCCTCAACTCGAAAACCGAACCTGTTAGACCGCAAAGCATGCCGGGAAGGTGAAGTGGGGTTGGCACTTACTCAAGCCCTGAACTCCAACGCCGAATTCTCGTCTCCCATGGCTTGCAATGCTGGGGGCTTGCTCGGCCTACGCGACCTTTCGCGGACCTTTCGCGGTTCTTTCGCGGATCTTTCGCGGATTTTCAGGTAAGAATTCTGAGACTGAGCCTGTGCCTCAGAAAGACGCGCAACCCTTTCACCTTTGAGCATGCCTGGAAGCATGCCTGCGGACTGCAAGAAAAATGTCTTTGAAAGTAAGTAAAGGAACCATGGCTTACGATACTTTTTTCGCGAAATCCAGAGTCCCTAGGCCTTTTAAGCCAGCCGTGGTCGTTTTACATAAAAACTTCCGCATGGGATTTTCGGGCGATGCCCAATTGGGGTCGAGTTCCTGATGTGGAGTTAACCCTAAGGTTTTTGGAGGGGCTTCTTCCAAGGGTTAGGGTTTGGGGCTTGGGTGTAGTGACGGTTTTTCCTTCTGAATACCAGCAGTCTTGCACTGTCACATGGCAGAGCTTCAGGGGTTCCGGCAGATGGTTCAGAGACACCCTAATCTAGACCCATGATTAATAAACCCTCTCCTTTCAAGGGCCTAACTATTAGGATCCTTACTTTAATCCCTATGAAGGGGAGGGGGTTTATTAATCAGGGGTCTGGGTTAAACCCCGAACCCTACACAAGTAAGACGGCTGGCATACTGTCTTGAAGACTCCACGAAATGAACTGAGCTGAGCTTTGTACATGCAGTACCAACCCTGGCATCCTCCGCGCAGCCGAGGTAGACGAGACCTTGGGGAGTTTGAAAAAAATCTGGCCGGAGCTACAAGATAACGGCACTAGGACTTGGAACGGGGACAATGTGCCGAGCTACAGGAATGTCAGCTGATGCAGTGTGTTGCAGCATGTGCACAAAAGCGGACACTGCCATTTGTCCAAACTTGTCGGGCCGCCGCAGCTGACTACCAAGGGCCTGTGTAAGTTTCAAGAGCCAGACACAGGGCAAGCGCAAAATGAAGTGGCCAAGAGACCAATAACTAATCACGTTTACTTCGACACCCTCTTAGCACCTTTACCACACAGTTGACAGATAGCAAAAAGCATTGATTGCAAAGTCTTGCCCCGCCGAGCCACGCCAGTGATCCGTGCAACTCTTTGTCAAGTTCATACTTGCTGGTATTTAGGGCAATTTTAGGGCGTTTAGGGAAGAACACATTATCCTTAGGGGCAAGGCTTTCCCCAAAGAACCTTCAAAGTCTTGATGCCAACCCGATCGACGCGCGCTTAGATGGGACGTGTCCGAGGCAGGCTGAGACGCACGCCGCTACATTTGAATGTGAGGGTTGTTCCAACATGTTCTACAGGTCCTTGTAAAGGAGGGTCTGATAAAGTCCTAATGAAAAAGGGAAGCTACCTAAGGGCAATTTTGGGAACAGGTTTCTTTACCAACGATCATCTAGCTGCAAGGCCCCCCAAATAAGATTCCTAAGCCGTATGGAGCTCTTAGGGCGTAGCATAGCGCATGTGTAGTAAGGTCTGTGGCGGGAAGGCTTCTCTGAGTATTGCCCAATTAGACATGACTTTTGCAGGTCCCTAAAAAGGGCCGAGTTATCAGGACTATATGGGCCATAGTCTTAACTCCTTAAAGGGGGTTATATAGGGGACTATATGGGGGATTACTATAGGGGTTATTAAGGGGGATACTAGGAGTTTAGACTGTAGCTCATATACGTAAGCTTTCTTTTGCCTAGGGCTTTTCTTAGTTTAAGCCAGCTTCTATAGGTTTGGCAGGCGTATCTACCAGCAGGGGCAATTTCTGATGCGTCGTCAGGGAGGGTATTGAAGAACTGGCATAGCTCGAGCAGACAATTTTACGCCTACACGCAACCCGACACATTGCGGTTGCGAGAGCCAGCTCCCAACAGGAACCACGCTGGATCGTAGAAATTTTGCTGGGCAGACAGGGGCAGGCCTCTTTTGCAAACAGAACGCTTGTGATGTGAATTCTCAGCACAGAAGAGTTGGATCCAGACTGCACTCCCTGATCAAGTGGACTGAACGTGTACCTGGCCCGACCTTGGTGATTCTTTTTGGGACTAGCGACAACAGCACCACCGCTGCCACCGCTGCCACCGCCCACGAGCGCCACCCCCGCTGACGGCCGCCACGACCACCCCCGCGCCCGCCCCCGCCGCTACCACCGCCGCATACCGCCGCCAACACTGCAGCCGCCACCACCAACTCACCTTACTATTACCATCGTTTCATGGCCCGATATTACCTATAAGACGCCCAATTTATGGGTATGGATGTATAGTTGGGCGGGTGTTACCAATGGTCTGGGGGATGATGCTAACCGCTGCAGAACTCCAAATATATGCAACTATGTACATGCGACCGTACATGTGATGTTGTGATTTTCCAATGAAGTTTCCGTTTCTAGGCGAGGAGAAACTCCCAGCCCTAAACCCTAAGCCCCAAATCATGTGGTTGCATGTCCTTCTGCAGTGTTCTTATCATGTTATTTGGGCGGGTCATTATGCACTAATTCCCAACTTTGGTCCCTAACCTCAACCCCCACAGCAATTACAAGGGAAACGTCAGCCCTAAACAAGAAAACTCCGAAACCCTAAACCGAAAAAAAAGTTATGTATTACAAGAGGGGAAGTTTCCTGGGTTGATGTTAAGGTACTTGATGGGTATACGCATATCTGTATTTTTAACAATTAGTACGGTTCCCCTAGCAAGGTCACTTAAATTAAGTTCCTTAACAATCAAACCCAAAGCACTAAGCCCTAAACCCTAAGCCCTCAATAGTAGTTTCCATTTTCTTTTCCATTATCCCTATTTACTCCCTTTATTCCCCATAAACCCCGTCCAATGTATCCCCTTAATCAGCCCTAAACCCTAATCCCTAAACCCTAAACCCTAAATCTCAAAACCCTAATCCCTAAACCCCACGTAAACCCTAAAATCCTAAATCCAGAAAAAACCCTAACCCCCTAAACCCCTAAATCCCTAAACCACTAAACCCGTTAGTAACGTTATTATGAGCATCCTGCCTGGCATGGGCGGCTCGGCCCGCCTCTGCGTGCCACCAGGCTCTGCTATGCTTCTTGCAGAGAGGGTTTAGGGTTTAGGGTTTGGGGTTTGGGGTTTAGGGTTCAGGGTTTAGGGTTTAGGGTTTGGGGGTTAAAAATCTAGGGTTTAGGGTTTAGGGTTTAGGGGGTTGAGGGTTTACATGGGGGTTTAGGGTTTTGGGGGTTGTTTAGGGGGTTAAGTTGTTACGTAGGGGTTTAGAGTTTGAAGGTTTAGGGGCTTAGGGGTTTAGGGATTTCGGGTTCAGGGGTTTCGGGGGTTAGGGGATCAGCATTTAGGGTGTAGGGGGGTTTTGTTTTGTTTTTGGTTTGGGGGTTGAGGTTTGGAGTT